TAGGTATTAGTGAATATTGAAAGTAGGTGGGCACTGCACGGGGTGCCTGCTGTGTTGCAGAGCGTGTAGAAACGACTGTGGTCACCTCTGACCTTTGTGGCCGAGTCATCTGGTCAAACCAGGCAGAACAGGGAAGTCCGTTTTTATTCTTCCTTTCCATAGTCGCTTGTTCCTCAGTCGTACGTTTGTAGTCAATGTTTGCGTTTCTCCTCCCGAAGAGCACGTGGTCGGTCATCTTTCATGACAGCACTTGCTTCCTCCTTCCCTCTCGGCAGAGACCCCGATCTCCAGTCTCGTGACTTGCTGCCGAGGACACGCTTGCTCGCCTTGCCATGTCCTGCCCTGTGGTGTGGTGGGCTCTGTCCCCAGACTCCCTGTCCCGGCTGTGCAGAGGCCGTGCTCTCATGCTGAGCATCTCGCTGCTGCGTCTGCCTCATTTACTCGGCATTCAGCCCACCAGCGGGTGTCCTAGCCGTTGTCCCCTCTGTGTCTAAATGCTGCCCGTCTGGCTACAGTCTAACCGGCAGCTCTAAAACTTGGCATTTGGCCTCCATTTGTTCCTCTGGTTTGTGGGAGAGAGACCGTGTGTCACTTGAGATAAGATGTCTCCTTACTCAAAGAATACAATGACTTCTCGTGAACTTCTTCTCGTATTGGGTACGGCTTCTTTGGTGTCTTTAGTTTGGGGTTTTCTTCAGTTTCACCTGGACAGCATCCGCGTGGAGTTAGCGAGTGTACACGCAGGGCAGATACTTGCTCACTTCCGCAGGGGATCTCCTGTGTCCTGTGTCTACACCTAAGGGAGGCCTCTCGTGAGACCCCTCCCGGCCGCTGACTTGGGGCTGGACTCTGGACTGAGGTGTGTGTAGCCTGCAGCCCACAGGGTGCCGAATCCGTGTGTTTGATCAGAGCGCTTCCTCCCGGAGCGAGGGCTGCCCGGCCACTGGCCTGTGGGTAAAGCAGACAAGTGTGTTTATTTGGAAAGTATGATGGTCTCACCCCTGCTAAAGTAAACCGAGTCCTCCTGTAATACACACCCTCGATTCAGCCAGTCTTAACTGTTTATCCCAAGCAAGTATCAGTGCCTCACGCTTCCAGCCCAGCCTTATTTAGGTTCTCCCTGGGGTAAAGCCTCATGCCAGCCCTAAGGGAATACAAACCTGGGGAAAACAGCAGCCCTGCCTTTGAGGAGCCCCAGCCTGGTGATGGGGCTGCAGGGCCACGGGACCTCGTCAGGAGGTTACCCCAGGGTCTGGGAGCTCAGGGGAGGGAACTTGGTCAGGCCCTGCAGAGAGCTGGACTTTGGGTGGACTAGCATGGATCCCAAAAGATCCATGGGCTGGAAGGTGACAAGAGGCATTAAAGCTCTCCAGGGACTCGCACAGCGTGGGCTGGAGAGGCTAGAATTCAGAATCGGACTTTGCAACGTGGGGTTTCACCTCCAGTGTCCGTGAGAAGGACGCAGGCCTGAGCTTCGCTATAGCTGATTGAATCTTCATGACCTTGGTGCCACAAGGAGGGCCTGGCTGGTGGTCCACGCGGCCGTGCTAGGGTGGGATCCACGGGCGAGGGGAGGAGGGGCCTCTGCGGCAGGCACAGTCCACACGCAGCGGACACCCCTCGTCTGGTGCCCGGGCAGTTGGCTCCCCCAGTGCCCATCTCGGCTCCGTGCCCGGCCGCTCACCGCAGGTTACTGTTGGCTCAAGGCGGCTGTGCTTGTGGAACTTCTGTGGGATTAGGAGATTAGAATGAAGATTAGAAAAACCGATAAACCATGAATGTGGGAAGACAGTTTTTTTGGTTTTTAATGGAAAATAAGTAGGCTCCTTTGGAAATGCTTGGAAAAGCCCACTTACTGAGAAAATCTATGTACATTTGCAGGCAAGTGAGACATCTCTTAAAAAATTAATAAAACCAAAACTCTACAGGGATCTGCCCTCTTCTCTGAAGTGTAAAGTTGGAGAAACAGAGGGTTTTTCGGGTGGCAGGGATCTCAGCGTTCCTCTCAGTCCGACCCCTCACAACACAGGGGAGGAAACTCAGACCAGAACCGCTGGCGGTGGACACCAGCAGGATGGCCCTGGCTCTGTGATCATCCCTCAGCAACAGGCTGTGCACAGCTCTGCCAAGTTCTGCAGGTTGAGCTGAACTGCTCAGGAGTCAGCCCTGCTGAGGTTTGCCCAAGCTTTGGGTGCATCGCGTGGGCGGCAGTCCTGTTCACCCCCCAGCTCTGGGCAGGTGCCAGCTGAGAGTCCTGCAGAGCTTCCCTGGCCTGGGGGCCGGAGTGGGCGGCAGGAAATGCCCAGGAGAGTCCTGGCTCTCCTGCTCCTGGGGAGCGGCCCCTGACACGCGGTGTTACGGCTACCAGGAGAAGGGACAAAGAAATAAGCGGGAAGGGCCGGCCACCATGAAGCCACGAGGGCATCCGCTCCGTCCACGCCGCCGCTGCCCTGCTTGCACACAGCATGGGCGACTGGGAAGAGAACTGCTTTCCAGATCTGGCCGTTGCGTGTCTGCTGCTGGTCGTGACTTGGAGGAGAAGAGTACTTTCTTTAAGCTGATGATAGATTATCAGTTTCAAACTGGAGTGTGGGAAACCCTCTCCTCACTGAGCTTCCTGAAAGAAAGTTCTCATAATCTGTTGTCAGTACAACAACAGGCCGTCCTCTGAAGGTGTCAGCGTGGCCACGAGCAGAACGTGATCCCTCGGACGGAAGCTCGTTCCGAGCGGCTCCGCCTCACCGCGTGCCTCTCACTCCTGGTGCGAGGCAAGGGCCGCGGGACAGAGCGGCGCTCCTCACATGTTCAGGACGGGGAAGCTGCGTCCTGGGAGCTGTGACGACGGGACGTTGAAGGCATGTTGGGTGGTAAGATGTGGTTCTTGCTACTGAAACAAACAAATGGAAAACAAAGAACCTACCGACAGTCAAATGCAAGGTCGTTTGTGAGATGTTTCACTGTCTGGAGAACTCAGCTCAGGGGCTTCACATGATGACCTTGGCGTGCTCTTCTCTTGGTGTTTATAAGATGACAAAATTGCTTGCAGAGACACTGAAGACGCGTTTCTGCACCTGATCCTGCTCCCAGCCCCAGTCCTCAGAAGATGTCCGTGTGCTGCTGCTCTCCGTGCTCCCACCCTGTGGGACACCCTGGGACTGCGCTCCTCCTGGGCTTGCAGCTGGAGCGGGGTCCAGAGCCGGGCTGTCCACGCACCGCACAGGAGTTCGTGGGCACACCTGCTACGGACACCCTCGTAGTGCTGGCACTTGTCACAGAGCGGAAGCGTGTGCCGACAGGCGCCGTCCAGCAGGGATGGCTGGGCGTCCAAACCGCTGGACCAGGCTCAGAGCGTGGCCATCACAACCAGCAGGAGGCCTGGAGGGGTGGCCAGACCGGCACTAGGAGCCTGGGGACGTGGATAGGATGTGGGTGAGCACACTGCGGGGGCCCCTGGGGGGCCGCGGGGTCTGGAAAGTGGCACGCAGAGGCAGCGTTCTGCCGAGGAGAGGGATTGGCCTGCTCTGTGTGTGGAGGGACCCCTCTGGCTGCTACATGGAGTGCACACTGTGGGCACTGGTGGACGTGTACCAGACACGGCAGAAGCACTGGCAGGAGGTGCTGGCAGCAGAATCCAGCCGTGAGAGTGACCCCTCCACACCCCACCCCATTTAGAGCAGCGCTCATCTTGCAGCCAGGGGCCCCTTAGCCACTCGGGCTTGAGACCCAGAGGAGCTCCTGTCCTGGGATTTGAGGAGACACCCAACGGCAGGAGCACGTTCGTAGGAAAGGAGGGAGTTTTGCTGCCACAGGGCATGTGCCTGACAGCCACAGCTTAGGGAGGACTTAGGTGTTGATGCAGTAGGTGTGCCCCATTGCTCCTTCCTGGACAGCCAGGGAGTTGCTTCTGGCATTGTGACAAGCACTTGCTGGAGAGGAGGTCTGTGCTCACCTGCAGCTAGAGAAGACTGAGGTGGCCGACGGTGTGAAAGCTGGTTCCCGTCTCTCTGTGCCCGAGTGTCTGTGAGTCAGTGACAGCAAGCAATTTT